GATTATATATATATATATATATATATATATATATATATATATATATATATATATATAGTCAAATATAAATATATATGCATATATGCAATAATAAAAGGAAATATATAAACAAACATAAAAATGACTAAAATAACATTATACTTGCTAACAAATAGGTTTTATTAAAAAAAGCTTAAATCCAGCCTTTATATAATACAAAGGAATATAAAAAAGAATATATAAACAAATTGAAATAATTACATATATAATAATCTTACTACCACAAATAGTTTAATATTAAGAACAGAAATATATACATGAAAATTATATATATACACACACACACGTATATACATATATAAACTAAGCTCAAATCTGACATCTATAATTTTTATAAGACATAAATACAAATTTAAAGAACTAACAATACTAATAATACTTACATAATAAACTTTCAAATCTGACCTTTATAATAAAAATGTTGTATGTAAATATAAATTTAAATATCTAATACTACTTCTACTAATAATAATATAAACTTACTTCCACAAATATTTTATTCTAAAAGCTAAAATCTGACATTATCATTTTTATAAGGCATAAATACAAATTGAAATAACTATAATACTAATAATAATAATAATAATAATACTTCATAATAATCAACTTTCAAATCTGATAAAAGATATAAATATAATACAAATTTAAACTACATAATAATCATAACAACAACCACAAATACAGCTTAATTGTATATAATTTCTATTGTTTATATAAACAACTTTAAGAGCTTTCCTTTAAATTTTAATGTACTTGGTTTACTTAATGTACTAGTTAAAATGCACTAACTGAGCTGACTGTGTATGAAATTAAAGACAAAATACAACCTAAAGAGAGTCTTTCCACTCTGTAATTGTCTGACCAGATGCTGGACAGTACCACTTTCCTTTTACCTGGGAATGGCCAGTAAGTTTGCTTTTTGTGTGGCCACATGTTATACACTGGTAATGGTAATGTTCTTTTGTGTGACGCTTCTTTGGTGGCTCCCCTCTTGCCACACGCTCTTGATCCTCAAGAGCTGCCTTGTGCAGTCTCCAAGCACGTTGTCGGTTCTGAGGAGGTGGTCGAGCTGATGGCTGTTGGCCTGGTGGAAGGGAAGACCATCCCTGAGGCGGTGGTGGCAGTGGTGGAGCTGATGGCTGTTAGCCTGGTGGAAGGGAAGACCATCCTTGAGACGGTGGTGGCAGTGGTGGAGCTGATGGCTGTTGGCCTGGTAGAAGGGAAGACCATCCCTGAGGCGGTGGTGGCAGTGGTGGAGCTGATGGCGGTTGGGCTGGTGGAAGGGAAGACCATCCCTGAGGCGGTGGTGGCAGTGGTGGAGCTGATGGTGGATACGGCAGAAAAGACCAATCAGGCCAGGTATGCCACCCAGGAAAGTGCTGAGCCCCAGGCCAGAAAATTTTTTTGTGTGCTGCAGGAGTGCCAGATGGAAATGCGCCTCCTAGCCAAGTGTCTGTGTGTACAATCGAAGATGCTGCAGTTCCAGTTCGCACATATTTTCGTTGCCGAATAACTGCCTCACCCTCCCGATTTTCAGGCTCCTGGAACTCAATGGGAACATGCTTATGTTCAACAGGTGCTGATGGGAGCACTTTAGGCTTTGGTAGTGGCTCAGTCGCCAAATCAACCTGCTGGGGAAGCTCCACTCCTTGCAACAAGGTGTCCCAATCAGTTCTTTTCTGTCGGTCTAAAAGCCTGGGAAAGAAAAACAAGCATTTTTAGCTTCGAGCACAACTGCTTTTAAAATTACAACTTTATCCTACAGTACTCTCACATGAAGCATTATTTAATGTATATATTAAATATTGCATTATTTATCATGCAAATAAATCCTAAATGGGACTGTGTTTTCAACACCCTTCAGTGATGACCAGCTAGATGTACATTATCTAAAATGCTTGATTCTGGTTGATCAGTTGCAACATTCCAAGGTCTGTCTTTCCCCAATATTGACTGTAGATTATAGCAACAATGAATAACAAATGCTCATCTGGGTCTTACAGGGTTTGAATGAAAAGAGAATTCATGGTGTGATTCAAGAGATGATTGAAATAGTGCTGGCTTCAGATAACCAGATGAGTAGCCTGTTACATAGCACTACTACTGATGACGGACATTATTGTGAGAAACTGACTTTGAAAATGTCACAACTGACCAATCAGAATCAAGAACTGAGAGCTGTGTAATATTAAGCAATAAAGTATTCCAACCATTAACATTTATGTAAAGCTGCTGTGAAAATGTATACATTTAATCTATGCAATATACAAATACATTTGGAATTAGAATAGATCATTCAGTAGTTGTTACTGAAGTGCACTTGTTCATGGGAATGTACTACTAAAGTGAACTCAGGAAGCCAAGAACCAACTCACCAAGATGATACTGTAGTATTGTTGATCGTAACTAGCACCAAGTTGGTCTTGTCCAGCACTTCTCTGCAGTCTTCAAGCAGCTGCTTGATGTGACTATACGTCATCACAGTTGCCTGAGGAATTGGGAAGATTTTGCCCTCGTTGTCTTTAGGCCTGTTTCTGGCTTCCCTGAATTCCTTCAAAAGCTTGAGTGCGACGCATTCTGAAATCCTGTTGACATCAGGTCTCTGGGCAGCCTGGCCATGGGTCATGAACAGTCTGCAAATAAAAGTATGCATTGATTGTATAATGCATGATGTTATTATTCCATGGTAGCTTTGTAAACATATAGACTAATTATGTTTTTGAATTTTATGCAGATGAAAATGAGGCAATGTGGGATACTTTATGATGGCATACACTGTAAAAAAGGTCCTAGATCATGATTCTTCACAATTTTTTTAGCCTTACAGAGGAATTAAACTATTACACAGGCAGTATGAAACAAGACTCAAGTTTAACACAGGTGCACTACAATTTAACTCACCTCTCAGCCGCTTGCTGACCAGGGGCTGAGCCACTACGCTTCCGAGAAGCTCTCCAGGCAAGACATTTTTCTTGCACTTAAGGGAATACGTGGAGGGGGACCGATCAATGGCATGCAGAAACAAATAAAACCGCAAGATCTCTGCTATCTCGTTGGTTGACAAAGCAGTGATAGTGCGGTTGAGGCTGACGAGGTACCCTACCAGGTTATCCACTGCCTCCCATCCAGGAACACCCCTTGAATCACATCTACTGTCCTGAAAATGGGAAAAAACAACCTGCATTACAAAATAGTTTATTAACAGTTCTTTGATATACTATTCTTAACAAATTACAAGCATCAGCATCAAGTATTAGAAACTTTACCGGAGCTGATGTGCTGGGCCCAGCGCAGGAAATGTCTTCAATGTCAGGACTGTAAGAGCCACCACTTGGAAGACTGGTTTCCTAGATTATTTTTAAACATTTGTAAGAGAAGAACAAAATTGGATTACAAAACTGAGTGTTCAAAAAGTTTACTAGTTTTAATAAGTGGTCATACTTTACAAAAAGTTTATTTAGTTAAGGATGGTCAATGCATTAATATGACCTAACAATGAGCACTACATTTCCAATATTTGTTCATCTCTGTTTACATTAGTTAATAAAAATATGACTGTTTTTTTTTGTTAGTTAATGTTAGTTCAGGTTCATTAAAGTTAGCATTTTGAAGTTTAATCATGCATTAGTAAATGCTGAGATTAGATTCTTTATTAGTTCATGTTAACAGTTGTGGTTAGCTAATGTTAAACAAAAAACTTATGGTACAGCATTACCTAATAATCTTTTAATTAACTGAATAATTTAATTAATTGCTCATGTAAACTAACATTCCTATGCTATTTTAAATTAAGAATAATCAAGCAAATTGACATTACCAGAGAGGAGCTCAATGAATCATCATGACTGCTGGAACTGCTACGGGTGTGTGCATCTAAATTGATGTCTGCTGCATCACATATTGTAACATCCAGACACTCATCCTGCTGAACTTCAACCTGTGTCTCTGGCGGAGTGATTTCAACATGCTCCAGTGGAGAAAGCAGGTCTCCTCTGTCAGACTGCGCCAGCAAGTACTCCACAGCTATACGCTCATCTGCCATAAAGAGTCATTAAACATTTTGTAATAAGAGGAATATATCAGGCTAAACCAGTACAGTGCATGCATGTGATGAATGTAGTGTTGCTAATGAATAACCAATAGTGGGTGCATTTTTTAATACTCGCGTGACAGCTAGTCTGTATTTTATTTTATTATTATTATTATTATTATTATTTATTTATTTTTTTTTATGCATAGGTAAACATTTATATATAGTATATTCATAGTCAAAATCTGTCAGTAGGTTAGCTGTGTATAGGTACAGTGTTTATGTGAAGCATCCGTATAGTCTGTATTTTTTTAACATGTATAGGTAAACATTTATATATATATATATATATATATATAGTATATTTATAATCAAAATCAGTCAGTAGGTTAGTTGTGTATAGGTTTTTACTGCTTTACTGTATAGGTTTTTACTGTTTTACTTCATTGTTGTATGCCTGTATGCAACGATGCAGAATTGTCCATGTCCACATCGCGATGCATCGATGCAACGATTAATTTCAACACCCCTAGCGTTCAGGCAGCATGCAATCTCACAGCAATGCTTGGAATTACTATTGTAAGAGAATATACAAATGTTGAATCTTACCAGTGGGTTTCCCAGGGGGCATGAATTCTGGCAGGAGAGTACATCCGAGGACTCTGTTGCTGAGGACGTTCATGTGGGAAAATAAACGTACATCATAGATTTTAGTATGTGATGTACCACTCATGTCCACAGCCTGATGAGCCCGGTTAATGTTCCATCTCGATGCACCCTCAAGCATGTACATTTGAGTATGAAGAGCATTACATCTCCACCCTGAAAGACAAAATGTTTCACATGGTTAAAATACCATTATAAACCCCCCTCAAAACTATGAGGCCTAAGAAAAAGTTTCAACTGATAGGTCAACACTTATCCAGTTGTATAAGATTTAAGTTAATTTACTTCTGACCAAAATCTGTTCAAATTGTATGCCTTTTATTTTGTGGCAATTTTTCCCTGTCATTTTAAAAATGGTATTTGATGTTTTTCAAGGTATTGTTCAAAGTTAGAAATTCCAATATTGTGACAATACTACTTAAATATACACATGATATTGTCTTATCATTTCAATTTACCTGGAATAAAAGTGCACTGGTGGCGATGAAAGCTCTCCAGAGAAGACGACCCTCTGCCACACCTCAGTACATCCAGAACATTGTCTCCCTTCTGTAACCCGGAGCCCAGTTTCGTGTAAAGCTGAACCGCGGGTGGATCTTGGATGCAGGGTAAATGCTTCTGTTGCACCTCCCACACGTGTGTTATTCTCTCCGGATTGATGAGGCGCAGACCAGTCGTGTCTGTCAGTTCCCACATGGAGTCCAGCAGTCCTTGAATCAAGGCACGAGTTTCTTCAACTTCCCGTGTCCTCCTCCTGCAGTGCTTGGCCAGCTCACTGGAGATGATGCTTGACAGGATTTGGGCCTCTGTCGGAATATGCCCCCCATGTTTTTTTAAAAGCATGGTCTTTTTTGCCTCTTTAAGACGAGAGATGTCATCCTTGTCCCATTCAAAGATACAGCTGGACAACTTGGAGCAGAAAGTGCCATACAGTTACTAAATTAAAATAAATAAATAAATAAATCCAAGACAGTAAAAAGTGCAACAGAATGTGTAAAAAGCATAGTAATTATGTAAAAATTATAACATAATATTACGTAAGTTATTTGGCAGTATGGACATATACTTATTTTCCATAACTTACCGTTTACTTTTACTTAAGAGATAACCTGTTGTGTTCACAAAATACGCAAATACATAAACTTTGATAAACTTTAAAGCGTATTTAACCGTCTTGGCGCTCAATCGACTTTTGGCACTTATCAAAAAAAAAAGCCACCAAATTTTTCGGATTGCATTTTATTTATTAGACTTTTAAAATACAAAACACATTTTTAAACATGTAAAACACAAAACACGTCCGCACTCTGTATTTTTAAAGTACATTCTTCATCATCATCACCATATCGTCGTTGTATATAAGGAATTCCGGCTATGCTGTTGCAAAATGAATGGCCACCGCGATTTATATCACTATATCGCCCAAATATAGCCTCTAATATCTATATAAGTTAGGCCTAAGCGTTAAACAACCAAATTAAGAACAATGTTATCTAAATTACACGAGTGCAACGTAAGCGGTTGAGATTGAACCATAGTGTCAAACGAAGCTACGTCGCGTACCGCTTCTTTATCACATTATACTGTACTCACCTGCATGCAATCCGAAGACGTACAATTGATTAAAATATTGAAAAATATTAAAACTATGTCGCGTCACAATGTGATGGATGTCAGTGTAAAACAACGAACCCGCGCTTTGGTACTCGCACTTTTTATAGATGTAGTCACATGACAATGTTTCGACCAATGGCTGCTTTGCCCCGTTCGACCAATGGCTGCTTTGCTCCATTTGACCAATGGCTGCTTTGCTCCATTCAACCAATGGCTGCTTTGCCCCGTTGAGTGCTGTTCGGAACTGTTAGGACTTAGACCATTGACTGTTAGGATTGTTAGGACCTGATTTAGGAATTGTTCCGAGTGTGTTAGGACTTGTTCCGAATGTGTTAGGACTTGTAACAAACGGTTAGGAATGGTTAGGCTGTCCGATCGCTGGCGGGTACGCAAGCGCAAAATTTAGCACACGAGACGTGTCCGCTAACGCATGCGTGGACCAGCATTCGTAGCAACTTTTGAGCGTTTACAGTTTTTTTTCAGTTGTCTTGTGGTAAAAGAAGACAAAGGGTGGTAAGTGAAGGTTCGTGTCGGCTCAAGTTTGCTGTGGCGTGTACACGGAGTGCTCATGTTTTGTTCCGGGTGGTGGAGGCCTGTGTTCCAGGGAGGTCCTGCTCAAAACTCCCTCTAGGAGCACCACAAAATGCCACGAAAATAACTTTCGAATCATATACTGTCGGAATTTGCAAACTGTATTCACACTGTGGGACAGAACTCCATGCCTGGAACGTTTGTGGAGTTGCCTGAACTTGTAGCCTTTCAGGCTTTTGGACAAGAGGTCAATCGATTTGGCGCACTCCAATATGTACTAGCATCTTTGTATTTTCAGTTTCCAGTTGGAGGTTGAGTCCTCCAATTTTTGCTGTATGGCTCACTTTTTACCTTTGGAAATTAGGAAAGTTTGCCTTCAGTGACCGCTCTCTCTTGCGACAGATTGAAACGGAACTTTAACTCCGGGTTTTGATTGTGCATGTTATCGGCCTGCTCTGCGTGTTCAAACTGTGTTCCCCAGCAACAGGCATGGCTAAAACAAACAAAGCACACTCTAAGCCAGGGGTGTCCAAACTGTGTCCTGGAGGGCCACTGTCCTGTAGAGTTTCGCTCGAGCCAGCTCCAACAGACCTGCCTGTTGCTGTGGCGTGTACACGGAGTGCTCATGTTTTGTTCCGGGTGGTGGAGGCCTGTGTTCCAGGGAGGTCCTGCTCAAAACTCCCTCTAGGAGCACCACAAAAATAACTTTCGAATCATATACTGTCGGAATCTGCAAACTGTATTCACACTGTGGGACAGAACTCCATGCCTGGAACGTTTGTGGAGTTGCCTGAACTTGTAGCCTTTCAGGCTTTTGGACGAGAGGTCAATCGATTTGGCGCACTCCAATATGTACTAGCATCTTTGTATTTTCAGTTTCCGGTTGGAGATTGGGTCCTCCAATTTTTGCTGTATGCCTCACTTTTTACCTTTGGAAATTGGGAAAGTTTGCCTTCAGTGACCGCAGCGTCGATTTTTTGTCACCACAAACCAGAGGCGGTTACGCAGCAGGTCTCTGTGGTGCAATCGGCTAGCGCATTCAGCTGTTAACCGAAAGGTTGGTGGTTTGAGCCCACCCAGGGACGAAGGAAGCTTTCCTCTGCCATTCTGCCATGTGTCCGCAAGCGCAGAATTTAGCACACGTGTCTGCTAATGCATGCGTGGAGCAGCATTCATAGCACCTTTTGAGCGTTTACAGTTTTTTCAGTTGCCTTGTGGTAAAAGAAGACAAAGGGTGGTAAGTGAAGGTTCGTGTCGGCTCAAGTTTGCTGTGGCGTGTACACGGAGTGCTCATGTTTTGTTCCGGGTGGTGGAGGCCTGTGTTCCAGGGAGGTCCTGCTCAAAACTCCCTCTAGGAGCGCCACGAAAATAACTTTCGAATCATATACTGTCGGAATTTGCAAACTGTATTCACACTGTGGGACAGAACTCCTTGCCTGGAACGTTTGTGTAGTTGCCTGAACTTGTAGCCTTTCAGGCTTTTGGACGAGAGGTCA